AATAGTTGGAGGGAGTTTTCAGAGATAAGAGTTCTGTTGTGGGGAATTGGCTTGGCACATGCTATGCTGTACCATTGCCCTCTGCTGGCTGGCACCTCTGAGCTGCTGCTGCTTACAGAAGGGATCTTTTTACTGGCTCAGCTAGGCTGCCATGATGCCTTTTTTTCTTTTTTTATGAGTCTGAACCAAAAATTATGATTTCTTTCTCTGAAATTCGATTTTTGGGACTCATTAACAAGTGTGTGTGTGTGTATGTATATACATACACACAGTCTTGACTTTACTAAAGCTCGAGATCTGGATGCTGCATGACCTGCAGCGTGGCAATGCCAGGGGAAGCAGGACCTCCCTGGTATATTAGAAAGGGGGTGGGAAGGGAGACAGAAAGTAGTTGCATGGGGTGGTGTAACCCAGAACTACAAAGCCAAGTGCTCCATTCACCCCAACAATGATAGCAGTCACTGTTTACAAGCTCACAGCCTCACTGGTGTTCCTTTATGGCAATGGGGTGAAATAGGATTCAAATCTATGTGGACCCGTAAAGGGAAAGAAAGTTTCACAGGTAACATTTTTTCAAATACCCATATGCGATGCAGGAACCTGAACTCCTCTCTGCACTTGGTGCCTTGTGATGTTATCAGGACCCAAACCATCTCTGAAATGGAGTTTAGATCTTTCACAATCTCAGTTTGTGCCCTGTGCCCATTGTTGTGTGAGCAGGTTGCTGTAGTGTCTACCAGGGCAGGAGCCACATGCCCGAGGAGTAAGGGTTGAGCAGCTGGAATGTCTCTGGTACTCAGCTCCTGGCCCTGGGGAGCACCTCCATATTGCCTTTATGTGGATGGCTGTGGAATGCTCTTGTCCTCCTTCGTGTGTCACCCCAAAATGAGTTAGCATGGGCCAAGAGCCTTTGTGGAGCCCTTCTGTGCTAAGCACAGTAGCGTGAGAATTAGGCCAACAGCTGGAAACTAAAGCAAAGCACTAGAGTTTGGTGAAATCTGGAAACAGGTGTCCGTTTTGATTTGGCTTTACTGCACAAATGCAGGGTAAGGTCTGCTTGTCTTATAGGTTATTATTACCGAGTGATGAAGAGCTGTAAAGCTCACTTCTTTTCTGGCATAATTTAATATTTCAGGAGGCCATTTGCATTAACGGAAGTCAGCTAGTCCTTTTTCAATTATTAATTACTTTGTAAGAATAAGGAAAATTATGTATTTTTCCTGGTAAGTGTCCTCATCCTTTGAGGATGTCTGTAAATTCACAGGAAAAGCTTATTTTTAAATTAGAGGTCAAAATTAAAACACTAGCTTATAATATTAGGTTCTGTAAGATCATCTTCGCTTCCATCCCTTTGTAGCTGCACAGGTTTAGCTTACTAGAAAACTAATTAACAAAACCATTTTAAGTGAGGTTGGGTTCAATCACTGGCATTTTTTTCTTTATTAAATAACGTTGTATCCCAAAAAATTATGTGGTTTAGAAAAAAGGATTAGTCTTCAATTACTTTTCAAACATGAAGTTTATGTTAGGGTTGAAGACATACTGGGAGTTTTGAGAAATGCAGCGCTTGGATCCCCAGGAGATGAAGGGCATCCACAGCATTGCTGCTCTGGGTGGCTGTGCATCAGGCTCGCATGGTGCTGGAGCAAGCAAGCCACCCAAAACTCAGCTGCCTAAGGCAGAGCCATTCCCTGGAGGTGTCTGGAGTTTTGGCCTTCTCACACCTCTCTACCTTACCACTGCAGTCTCACAAGCAGGAGCTGGTGCGGGTCAGAGGACTCTCCCAGGAGTGTCTCCACTGGGTGCTCTCTCAGGGATGTGGAAAGTGGGAGACTGGCTCCGAGAGGGATGGATGCCAGCTTGCTGGGGCTCAAGCGGGAGCACTGGCGGCTGTGGGGCAGGTGGGATCAGGCAAGTGGTGGCTGCCTCTTTCCAATGGAGCCTTGCTAATATTTCCTATCGAGTGAGTGAAGTGAATAATGCCTAGCAGGCGCACGTCGCTCAATCCTTTCCTAACTGTACACATTATCAGATGCTCAACAGTTGCTTCACAGTTGTTTGCTATCAATAACATTTCCTCCCTTATAAAAAATGAAGGAGGAAACACAGTCAGCTTTTTTAAAGAGGAAACTGGGGCTTTGTTTGCTGTGGGCTGGGATGAGGGGCTAAGGGGCTGGGTGCTCAATAGAGGGCACCACAGCACAGGCTGTCATCCCTTGCCTCTCAACTCCTGTTTTTTTTTTTTTTTTTCTTTGCTGTGTGCTCATGATATGATGTAAATGGACAGAATAAATTTGTCGAAAACAAAATCAGAGTGTTAACCTTCCACACACATGCAAGTGTGCATCTGTCATTGTATTAGGTTACAGTAGATACAGGAAATCTTTAGTTAGGATTAAGTTGTACTGTTCAGCCATATGTTGTTCTCCTCGAGCAGAACAGTGTATAATATACCTAATAAAATCATGTTGAAGAAAACCAGATTTTGGACCTTGTCCAAATAAGACAAAACACATGTTTTGTCTGTTGTAAATGTTCTTGCCATAACATGGGGAAGGAGAAATACTCCTTCTATAGTATCCAGCGTTTCCTCAAAAAAGACATTATTTCTTCTGTTTGTGAAATTATAGGTTTTGGCCACGCTTCTTTAAAGGTCTAGAGATCAGAAGCATTTACTGAAAGCTTACAAACAAAGATTCACATGGCCGTGAATAAAAAATTATTTTATTATCTCTAATTCAAATGTAGAGCCTTATCCTGCAGCCCCCTTAATCACATGAGTAGTCATTATGTATGTGAGCAATCTGGCTGAGAGGAGTGAGATCTCTGACAAGTAATGACTACTGATGGGATCAAGACTTGCAGAATTTAGCCTTTCGTTCGTATTTCAGGCGTGCCTAGAAAGTCTGTTATTCTCTTAAATATGCCCAGTCAGTTTATAGGAATTATCACCGTGAGCCATGACTCTTCCATTAGTGTGACGGCATCGAGAGCTGATGCACATCATTGTAGCTGCAGCTTTGCACTGACACTGGCTGTAATAAAACTGTGGGAGAAGCACTGGGAGTGCTACTGTTGTGTTCAAACTGCGCACGCGTTCAGCCTCTGCTAAGACATCCGAGTATTAATATTATGACACTCCGCCTTTCCTCTTGCCTTTTTAATTTGATAGGTGATGTTTTGTAATTTTGATTTTTTTAAAGTCCTTGGAGCCAAACCTATTTTTTTAGATGTATGACCCTTCACACAGTGAGTCCCCAGGACAGCAAAAGCCCTGGAGAGCAACTGATATACAAGCACTTAATACTACTAGTAACATCTGGTGACAAATGTATTGTTATTTCCTTGAAGAAGGAGTATTTTGAACAGGAAAGCATAATGCTTATGGATGGCACAATTTAATTTTCATTTTGATTGCTTGAAGGATGCAATTAAAAAGCAATCTAACCTGTTGGTTCAGATGGGGGGGAAACAAAAGTTATTTTTTAATTAAAAGAAGGAAGAAATGCTTCAAGGGTACGGCTGGGTGAGCAGTGTTCATATATTTGCTTTCAGGACGGTTTTAAATGGTTTGCAAAATGCATTGAGTATTTGGTCCTTTTCTCCATTGTAAACACATACGCACACACACATATATATATGTGAGAGTGTGTGTGATTAGCTTTATGAACATCTTTTCATTTCTTTGCTTTGGTTTCTCTTCAGTCCTTTCACCTCCAGATGGCACTATGAAGCAGAAAAGAAAATTACTGTGAAATAATGAGTCCAATGTAAAGTAAAATTGGAAATTGAATTATAGCTGCAGAAAAAGGACAGTAGCCTTGAGGTCCTGATCAGTCTGTACTCTTATCACTTTTGTTTGCTGTTCCATGTGTTAGGTTACTGGCGAGTTAATAACAGTGCTTTAGCAGTTCAAGGCTTAGCAGAATTGTACTGGACATGAAATAAAGCTAAAATGAATTTGTGTCCAATATCATTGACATTAGTGCTCATTACTTCTCTGGTGTAATGCCTCAAACCATCTAAAATCAATTTTAAAGATTACCCATTATTTTATAAAGAAAATAAAATACATTTCAAACAGCAACGGGGCTGTAAGTGTAGTGTAATCTCATGAACAGTTAGTTATTTGTGTTTTCGCTGGTTGGCAGGAAACTTTTGAAGGTACAGCAGGAGGAAAATCTGTGAAACTAAATGCCATCCACAGAATTTAATGTCTTGGCTTTTTGCTGGGTTACTTGGTATTAGACACGCAAATGTTAGAATTGCAGAAATGTGCATCCCCTCATTGTGCTCGTAAGCCTGGGAAAAACAGTAACTCTACTTACTATAAAGTGAACTACAGCATGCTGGGTTTTTTTTGTTTTGTTTTGGGGTTTTTTTGTTTTTTTGTTTGTTTGTTTTTTCAAGAGGAAGAAAAGCGGAAGCAGACAATTTACTCCCCCAGTTGCATAAACTATAAATGTGGATTTATTGTATGGAATGATACTTTTACTTTTTGTTGCAATATTTGTCTTTGTTTGGAATATATGTTTATCAAGACTCAAGGTTGAAATCCTCTTTTAGTGGCCGCTGAATGATGGCTTTTCAAACTGTATTTACGAAGCTGTTGCTGTCAAGGTGTGTAGACATGTAGATTCTGTGTTTTGATTCACTTTTTGCACAGCATTTGCTGACTGCTTTTAGACTACAAAGAAGTTTTTCTGTATTTTTATACACTGCATGCATTGATTTTACAGATGTTTATTTGCTATGTTTTAGTAAAATTGTGAGAATTTAGATTGGATTAATAAGGCTTTCTTTAGGTATGAAAGTCTGCTTATTTTGAATTTCAGTGAAACCTGGTCCTTCTGAGCCTGAATTTCAAATGCACCTGGTAGATCATAAGGGTTATTGCAGACATTTCCTCATTGGAAGGTGTCAAAGTCTGAGTTATTTGGTTGAGTCTGTGTGTGTGTTTACCTAGGCAAATGAAATGTGCATGTACACAAATATCATGCGTTTTCAGTTAGGTATCTTATTACTTGATTTGACAGTTTGGTTGTTTTTTTTTTTTAATAGGCTTAGACGAAGCTAGAAATCCTTTAGTGTATTTGCTAAATGTTGTTGTAATGTTGGCCACTTTAGAGAACAGTTTTCATAATGTGTTTGTATTTTAAAACACTACAGTCCAAACACACCATTAATCTTATCTGAGAAAAGGAACTAATCAGTTACACTTTTAATTCTAGTCAGAGTACCTATAGAATGCAATATTTCTTTCTGCTCTTACTAGTTCTTACATTAATGTCATCTCTTGTTTCCTATTGCATAGCAATGACTTCTTTTGTAACCTAAATGGGTAGAAATAGGTAAATATTGACTCTTTAACAGTTGTGATTCGTTTAAAGATATTTTAATAATTTTCTATGGAGCACTGTTTGGCATGGTCATAGGCTCTGATGACTCTATTACATGAGTAAAATTACATTTACATATAAAAAAATCTCGTTAATCATTCTAGGATTTGAGTATTAACGATTCCTTCTTTAGAGAAATGTTGCAGCAAAGGTTTTTTGTTTGTTTGTTTGTTTTTCCAAAAATAGTGATGATGATCCTCAATTCTCAGTCCTTGTAAAAGTATCTCTACAACTTTTTTGTGTTACTGGAATGTGTTGTATTTTGTTTACTCTCACTTGATATAAGTAAATACTCCGTGCTAAATTTATTGAAGACTTAATTTAAAATACATATAAACCAAAGATAAAACTAAACTTTTGAAAAACTGTTTACAAGTAAATTTGTCAGTGTTCAGTTTTAGCATTTTCATTCTAGCTTAAATGTACACATATTTGTAAAAGCGTAAATGATTTTGGCTAGTGTTTGCTCTGTTGTTAACAGGTATTTCAAAGTCCTGACACTGCATGTGGATGAAGTCCTCTGTCTCTGTACACACTTCTTCCCCCCCACTAAAGAAATTGGTGACTTGTAATTTTTAGAAAAGCTTACCTATTTAAAAAAAAAAAAAAAGAGTTCTTAAATGGAGACCAAATTTTCCTAAAAGTATATGCCTCCAACTGCCTAAAAATCATTAATTGATCCATGTGGTAATAACAGATGGTTAAATGAAAGAAATGTCCTTGAAGTTATTCTAATAGCAGATGTGCCTAACTATTAGCTTCATGTTTTTACTCACCTAAAATTCCAAATAATGTAATAAGAAAGTAACACACACCTAATCATTTTAATATGTTCATTACCTTCTGTTACTGATCTAGGATTCATCTGAAAATTCAAAAGCAGGACGTCATTTAGAATTTGTTCTGGTAAAATACTTTAGAATATATGTATGTATGTGCATCTGTATAAAAACATTTAACTTTTCTTCTTTTTCCAGAATCCTACAAGACGCGTTATTGCTTTCAGACAGTAGGCTTCACCTCTTCTTACAGACTCAGCTAAGCCCAGAAGATATGGAGGCTTGTGTATCTGGACAGACCAAATACTCTGTTGCTGATGCAATTCATAAGTTCGCCTCTTTGAACAGACGTTTTCCTATAGAAGATGAAGAGAGAAAAAAAGATAAAAATGATGCGGACTCTGATTCAGAGAGGTGATTTCTGTATTTCCTTACTTTCTGAGATTATATATACATACATACACATGCACATGCTTCACTTTTTTGTTGATGTAATACTAAGATAATGAAAAAATTAATTGACTGAGATTTTATTGAGCTGTGACAGCTCATCATAGAAGTCTTCACACACACCTCCACACTGAATTAATGAATGCAGTAGAAATTCAATTATCTGCATTCTGATTATGTGAATTTCATTTAGTCAGACTTGAATTATTCGCGTTTAAATTATCTTGCTAAAAAAATATCCAACTGCACTCCAAATGGCTAATTAAAAGTCCAAATTTCCTGTCTCTCTTTGTGACTGGAGATAATTAAAGTTCTCCTCTGTTACTCAGGCTTTGAGTGTGTTGTGAAAACCAATTTCCTCCTTTTATTTTTTTTTTTCCCCCCCTCTCTCCTCTTCTGCAGTTCATCCTCCGGGCTCAGACCTAGTGATGACAGCATTTCATGTGGATGTAAAGCAAGCCCAGCTTCTGAAGAATCATGAAAAATCATTCCTGTGTTGCTATCTTAAGGACAGTACAAAGCAGTTTCTGCTCTGTTTACGTGTACCACGTAAACACGGCTGGCTGGTAACACTTACCTAAAAGACACGTTGTCGATACAACCACATGTCCTCACAAAATTTTCAAAACAGACCTTGATACTATTTCTTTGTTGATTTATTATGTACGCTGCTTCAGGTCTACATGCTACCTATTACATTTAGGTTTTTGTGACTATTTAAAATCTCGGTATTGGATAAGTCATGCTGTGCTGACATATGTGGCAGTTCAAATATTTCCCTTAGCGAGTGCATGTCTTGGACCTGAAAAATAAAGATAACTTAATTCCTCAGCTTAAAAGTTGGTATATCATATCAAATATATGCAAAGCATCTTTTTGTAATTTGTATCAGAGAAGTTTCATCTTTAGGAGTCATTTGACATTGGTGATGAAATTACATACCCCACAAGGTATTCACTTTTTAAAGTAGCTCAGCAACATCAGCAAAACAACATTTGTACAAACTATATGCTGCTGACAATTTGAGATATAAATATATCTTCCTCTGGTCTTTCTGTAATGTTTATGGAAAGCTTGGGTTTATCATGTATATGAACCGAAGGCCAAAATTCTTGGGCACGGTTGCTTAGAAGTTAGAAATATTAATAAAAATGACATCATTTCTAGATTTGCTAGAGATTCTCACTTCCCAGGGAATTACAGGTACTCATTCCCAGTGAAAATCCTGGATGAGATCCACTAAAACCAATGGCTGAATTTTGCATTGACCTCGCTAGGGCCAGGATTTCACCCAGCATGTTTAACTTCAGGCACTTATATTTGAAGATGCTGGGAGAGATGTTTTAGTTCAGCAGTTTAAACGGAGAATATCTCCCTCTCCGAGATGACGATAATCACATAGCTATAACGCGCTGTATGGACGTGGACCTCCCCACTCTTTGGGAGTAATAAGAGCTGCTGATTTCATTGTGGCTGTAGTTAACACATTGGAATATTGACTTTTTCACAAACAAAAGGCAAGCTTGAACCCAACTTTGTAACCACCAACGCTTATTTTGATTAAACGTCAGTTTTGCTCTTTATTGTTAACAGCAGCTGTGTAGTGTCTTGTCCCAGATTCTGTCAAAGGAATATGTTTCACTGTGGTGGTGTATTTATATTTGACATTTAACTGCTATTAAAAAGAGCTAGGGGGTCTGATCACCCTAGCAAAGCTCCCATTAACTTCAGTACTGTAGTTACCAGCCTAGAAATGGAGATATATATAGAAATATATATATTACTTGTTTAAAAAAAAATAAAATAATTCTGTGGATACTTTCAAAGAAGGAGCATTTCAAACCTGTGAATTGCAGAAACAATAGATTAATAAATGGCCAGCTAATAAAGGGTAGCATAGGCATGTGTGGGCATGCTTTTTTAAAGCATCCAGCTGGGAATCTGTGTAATTTTAGAAACATGTTTTAATAGCCTGAGGATAACATCTCTTAGGTAACTACTTTAAGCCACTGTATTTTGTTGATGTTAGCACCTTTATAAGATAAATATCCGTGTTTCTTTTTGCTTGATCTTATTGAGTTGCACAAATGTATCTATTCACCTTCTCAGCTTGTTTGTGAGTTAGCAGCAATGCTGTTTTAATGTAAAAGTTGTAACATTTAATTAAAGCAACAAGTTATCGCTAACAGTAACTTCGAAAAATAGCAGTTATTGCCAGGCAGAGATTTGAATTACTTGACTTTTTTTTTTTTTTTTTTTTTTGGCACATTACAAGAAAAATTGTTTAGCAAATTTATTTAAAAGATGGGAAAAATTAAAAAAACCCCAACCAAACAAAACTGGAATAATGTCTGAGAAATGTATGAATGTTTTTATTTAATGCAATATCAGGGTAGTGGGGTTTTGTTTTAAAAGACTGAGCTAAACTGTTGAAGCACTTTACAATTCTGGCCTTCTAACACATCCTCAATATTTGATTAAAATTACAGAAATACAGGGTTTGGAGAGCCTTTGTGGCTATTTTTTATTTTTTATTTCTAAGAGCTTACCTGTATGCCAGTGATTGTTTTCCAAATGATTGTGTTTCTGAAATACTTGTTTTCTAATAGTTATATTGTGTTCTATTATTTTCTTTGTCACCCTGTTAAGAAACTCTAAGACTACTGTAACAGAACTTTCTCCCCAGCTCTGACAGAAATTTGCTTAAATATTTATCTTTTGAATGTTGTTTGTGTAGCTAGTATTACTGAAATTTTTCTTAATTAAAGGGGAGGGAAAAGTATGCTCTAGTGTGTCTTTTTTTTTTTTTTTTTCTATCAGCTGAATGTAACTGCATATAAACACTTTAATACATTTTGTGTAATTTGGAACATTGAATATAACTGTTACAAATTTATATGTAAAAAAATATATTTTTTTCATCTATTGTGTGACTTTAATGATTTGGTGATTTTTCAACACTGTCATATTTCGATCAGTTGATCACTGGTATTTTGATTCTCATTTTTTAGCTTTGAATAATAATGATATTTCCTGCTAGTTTTTTTTTCTTTTTTTAAACAGGATAATATCCAGTTTATAATATCATATAATTACTTATTGCTAATTTATATCTAATTGCAATAATTCTGCACTCAAAAGCTTCGCTTTGTCTTTTGCTTAGAACTTTATATTCTTTTTACGATGATTTCTTAAAAGCTTTTAAGTAATTAAATAAAACAAGTTGCCACATTTTTTTTATTTGTTTAAACCTGACAGTAAGGTTTCCTTTATTTGAATATCAATATCCTAATCACTTTATGATTTACCATTTGTAATCTCTCTTCAACTATTTTTGTAATATGTATATGTATGTGTATACATGTATATTTATAGACACTATTATGGTTGGTTTTGTTATTGTTTTCATCAAAAATGTGAAGAAGTGAAAAAAGTCATATGTGATATCAATTTCCAAAACATGTAACTTCAGAATATAGTAAACTAGTATTATGCAACCTGTTACTTACAGTGTCATTGAAATACAGTTTTAAGAAAGAGGAGAAAAGTTGTCACTTGAAATGGAAATTTTAATTTAAATAGCAATGTAGTTTTATAAGCTTTGAGGAAATTTATAGCTTTAAATGCTCCTCTGTATAACACTGCAGTTTTGTGTCCACATCTCTTTTTTTTTTTTTTTTTGACGTGATATATTGAATTTTTTTTTCCAGAGCAATATTTAAGTTATGTAAGCACGCGCTGTTTGTGACTCGCACTGTTGTAAAAGACACTGTACAGATAAAGTCAGCGTGTTCAGCTGGGAGAAGAATAAAACTTGTATCTTTCTCTGTAGTCTCCCTGTAATTACAGGACTAGGCGCAGCGCTAACGCCCACTGAGTTTTCCCCACGGGCTTTTACGATGCTGCAAAAATGTAAATCATTATTCCCAATATCAGTCAGGTTCACTCTTTTCAGGAAAGGCCTAAACTGCTTTAGAAAACACACAACGATGTGGAAAAAATACTCCGTACCCTGTCAAATCCCTTCTCTGCCATCTGGAATCAAACGGCCTGAGAAAAAGAATTCCAGTGAATTTTTAAAACAGAAATCAAACTTGATCCTGCGGCCTCGTTCGTTCGCGACCCCCCCCCCCCACACACACACACCCCTC